CAGGTCAAGCCCTGGTAAAGCCACACAGTCCAGATCTGATGACTTAAACATTCAATAAAAAGCTATAGTACCAACGCGCATCCCAAACAGCATGCGTTTCAGATTCTCTCATCGCCAGATCTGACACGGGAAAGAAAAAGGCTACAGCCCTCATTTGGTTTTAAGGTACAAGGGAACTCGAGCTTGGCAGATCACAACGCTAGAATGAAACGAGCCCGGTCTTTCCGCGTGCTTCTACCGGATCACCGCGCGCCGGAGGAGTACTTGGCCTTGGTGATGAGGTACAACACGATGTCCTGGCGTCCTCCGAAAGCGGCGATGTGCAGCGCGCTCCAGCCCTCCCGGTTAGCCAGCCGAATATCGGCTCCGAACTTCACCAGCAGTTTCACGAGCTCCAGGTTCCCGTCGATGACCGACTGATGCAGCGCCGTCTGTCCCTCGGGGCCGAACGAATTAACGTTAAACTCGCAGTTGGTCATGTTCTGCAGCAGCGAATGGAGCTCCTTCGTGTTGCCCTTCTTCACCGCCTCCTGGAAGACTCTCTGCGGCGCCGAGCACGATATATCCGCCTGGCTCATGGTGCTCTCCGCCGGCTTTACAGTCTCGAGTACTGGGATATTCGCGGCTTGACTGGACTAAAACCAGCTTAGGCGAGTGAGACTAGAAATAAGACGAGCGTATATATCCCAAAAAGGACAAGTAAACGACACACTTGGTGTGCAAATGCAGTCGGTGGCTATGGTATATATCCAAAGAGCTAGCGAGAAAGTTCAACCATCCACAAAGTGTAAGTCTCCGTGTGTGCGCGTCTCTCAGTAGCAGCACCAGGTTGTGGCAGAGTAGGAGCTATTTAGTGTGCGAAAGGAGGCGTGTGAGCGGCGGCGTCTCCGGTTAAGCGCATCGAGGGCCGTTAGAGAGGTCTGAGTTAACGGTAATTTACCTCAGGCAATGCGTCTCTCGCGTCCCGCGGTGGCTTATTTGGCAAGGGTGACTGAAATAAACAGAGAAACTGTTAAAACCACGGTTTCACGCTGTCGAGTAGCGGCTTCTTAACGTGAACGAGTAAAGATGTACTTACTCTTGACGTCTGGACGGGAAGAAGTGACTCCAAAACTGACGCTAGCCCGCTGCTGTTCGTCCGTCGCGCGGTCCCGGCGAGCCTCTGCCCGGAGCGGCGTTGCCAGGGGGATATTTTAGCCGAACTAGTTTGCATAACAATACGTCTCTGTAGAATCAAGTATTGTGGAATGGGAGGGCTGGGCGACGCTGATTGGCTGCGGGGTCGGCTTGAGGGCGTGGCCAAGCGGTGAAACCGAGAAATGGGCGTGGCCCAGTGCCCAAACATCCCAGTAATAAAACACCTGCGTTATTATGCTCTTCGGCGAACCAAATGGTACAGATTCGAGGGGGGAAAAAACATTATAAACAAAAACATGAAAGATGGACATAAGATAAGGCTTGGGTTTGGGTTTTATTCAGAGCCTGATCAAAATTTTGTTACACATAAATGTGACCCTGGACCACAAAACCAGTCATAAAGGTCAATATTTTGAAATTGAGATACACAAGAATAAATAAGGAATATGAGGGTGCAAAAAAAGTCAATATTGAGAAAATCGCCTTTGAAGTATATATGCAATGCATATTACTTACGTTTGGATATATTTACGTTATGAAATGTACAAAATATCTTCATGGAACATGATCTTTACTTAATATCCTAATGATTTTTGGCATTTTAAAAAATCGATCATTTTGACCCATACAATATTATTGTATTGTTGGCTGTAGCTACAAATATACCCCCAGCGACTTATGACTGTATTTGAGGTCCAGGGTCACAAATATACTTGCCTCTTTGCCATCATAAACGCAATCAGCAGGCAGTTTGGGATCTTATCTCTAAGTAATAATATATTATTATTTATTTGCAGATTGTCCAATGAATGCAGTTCAATATCCTACCCGTCTACACCAAATGGCAATGACTTCTTTATTGACGTTGCTTAAAAGTGACTCTGAACCATTATAGACTTTAGGACTTGTGAAGCAGCCTTTCCAGCTGTTTTAAGGCAATAACAACGCCTGTGCGACTTCCTGAGCGCGTCAACAGAGCTGTGCGTCGCGCTCGGCGTCAAGCATGCGCGCTGAAGTCAAAGCTGGCTCTGCGCATGCGCGGGGCAGGCAGCTGCACCGTGGGAACCGGACGAAAGCAGTGTGTGCGCAGCGCACTCGCCTTTCCTCACACGCCGCAGTTTGGCGCGGAAAGCCACACACACACACACGCAGTATACTGTGCAGACACTTCAAACATTTGATCTTCCAAACTGTTGCTTCACTAGATACTGTAACCGCTACGTTACGTTATAAACTGCACGTACTTTTTTGGGTGACTTAAGTTTTGCATATAGCCCGGACGTTTGGAGACGCGTTGAAAAGCTCTGATTCTGGAATCAGAATACACTATTTACAATATCATTTGGCATTTAAATGGAGAAATACCCGAGACTAGAGCCATTTATTCAACACATTCAACGACAACAGCAACCAAGTTTTCGTTTGTTATATTATCGTCACCATTTTATTTCCACATTTCCCAAATACTGCAGTTTTAAGATGCATATTTCAGACCGTCAAATCTAAACAGGTTTCTGAGTGAAATTATACATTCCCAACTACCTGTATTACTCTACATGAAGACACATACGATGAAATCCCTCTGCCTAACTGGTTTGGTTATAACCTCTGGCAAAAGTACTCAGAATTACTTTAGTGACACCAGATAATCAAAATGAAATGTAGGCTAATAATTAAAATTGTGTCCAGATTCAAATTCTCAGAAAACAAGACATCATACATTCATGTTTGCATCTCAAGTAAACGTTTCTTGATTTATGGATGTTTAGATATTTACATTGGAAAAATGCATCATTTAATGCCATGACTATGAATTTAAGACTTTCTGTTGTGATTTAAGACCTTTTTAGGCCTTAATTTAGGGCGAGTTAAGACTTTTAAAGATCTTTTTATAAGACCAGCAGTAACCCTGCTTCCATAAATATTTTCAAAACTATTTTATTCCTTTATCCTTTTTCTAAATACATACCCAACACATATAAACCAAGCCTGAACGGTAATTTAAAGTATCACAGTTCACAGTCAACATCAAAGCAACAAGCTATAATGAGACGCCGGCGAGCTGCAAATCCAGCCGACGCTGAGAATATCCTGCGAGCCATTTCAGATGTACAGTACTTAACAGGAAGTGTCCCATTTTTCCCACCTGGGCCCGGGTCACATTCATCAGAAACCCAAGCCGGCGAGAGCGAGCCAGCTAAAAACTCCTCCCGACGTCATTAAAGATTAATACGGTTCATAAAAGCTCTGTGGCATCTAAACTTCCGAATGCTTTCAGATTAACCCTGGACTGATCAAACCTTCACATTCAGTGAAAATATTTGGTGTTTGGTAGCCGCGCGGAGGCATTTGGCCTGAAGCTCTTCAAAGATCAGCCAGCGCAGAAGTGGGGGGAGAGAGCAGGCAGAGGCCCCTGAGTCACTGGCCGGGGATACTGCGGGACTAGCATGACGTCTCAATAGAGGGAGGGCCTTCAGAGTCCAATTCAGCCCCAGTACCACGTGTTCAAGGAGCGTGGGAAAGAGGCGAGCTTTTCTTCCCAGCAAAGAAAGAGCTAGTATCGAATAACAGAAGCGCAGAACAGGGCTAGGTAGAGCTCCTACTGCAAGCAGACAAGATTATCTCCGGCAAATGCAAACACTCAGAGCTACGGTTACAGTCAACACTTTGATACTTAGATTGAGGGAGCACACATTTAAAAGAGGAAATGGCTCTGTTTGAGCGTGGCTTGACTGAACTTGGAAGGAGGACTGACTGTATGCAGCCCATCCTGTTATGAACTTGCAAAGCATCCTCAAAAACTTGGAACGAAAATAGCGTCTGGCGTGAATTCAGCAGCGCTGTCTTTGGGGAACCCAAGCATGCTTTTTTTTAAAGTTTTGACAGATTTACAAATGGAGATATGACTTAAAGACTAAACATAAACAACGTTCGTTCTGAAAAAAGGAAGTCAAGAAAATATAACTTTTTTTGTTGTTGGTTTTTAGAGATAATTGCAAGAGAGATAACATGCTAAATATTATGATAGATTGTTTTAGAAAAACAAATAGAGAAAAAATGGCTAAATATGTTGCACACAAAGATTGTGGGAATCTGTTCATTAAGTGTTGTTAACCATTTATGGCATTAAGTATATTATTATGTGTAAAACTAATTTAGATCTTAAAAAGCTTTTTTTAAATAAAGGAAAAAATGGCTAAAAAGAGTGAAATATCTTGTCATTTTTGGGGGTTAATGTATATTGTGTAAAACTAATTTAGATCTTAAATAAAATAAAAAAAAAGTAAAAAAATGTGTATAAATCTTTTATTAAAATTAAAGTCTTGCCATAAACTAATGTAAATCCTGTTTTTAATAACAACTTGTGATTAATCTTCGTAAAGTGTTATTAAAACACTTATGATTTATGAACTATTTTAAGAGATTTGTAAACAATTTATGGCATTAAGTATATTATTATAATGTGTAAAACAAATTCAAATCTTAAAAAAGTTTTTTTTTTTTTTTTTAAATATACAGTAACAAATAGCTAAACAAGATTACGTGCAAAAATGAAATGAATATCTTGTCATTTTGGGGGGGTTAATGTAAACATTTTATGGAATTAAGTATATTATTGTGTAAAACAAACTTAAATATAAGTTTAAAAAAAATAGTTTTTGTGTAAAATAAAATCAAATGAATTCTGTGGGATTAAACCAATGTAAATCCTGTTTTTAATAACAATTTGTGTCCAAACTTTTCATAAAGTGTTGTTAAAACAGTTAACACTTATGATTTACGAACAATTTAGGAGGTTTGCAAACATTTTATGGCATTAATTACATATTAGTTAAAACCAAAAACAAAACAGAGTAACAAATGTCTAAACAAGATGTTGTGCAAAAATGAAAATGAAAGACGCGTGTCATCTTATGGCGTTAGTCCAATATAAATCCTGCTTTTAATAACAATTTATGACTAATCATTTCATAAAGTGTTATTAAAAAGTTATTTTTTTCAGGTTTCAGGAGGGATAGCATCAAGTATATAATTGCATTGTGGAAAACAAATGTACACAGGACAATTTTGTTTACAGTGCAAAACACAATGAAACCTTCCAAAAGGTTGCTATGACACAGTGTAGCAAATAAAAACACCTCCATAAAAAAGAATTTAAAAAAATCAGATGCATGGAGAAAAAAAAAGAAAAAAGAACCTGGAGTTTCCCTGTCGATCTCAAGCTTTTGATGCTGCGTCTTCACTGACGTGCAAGAGCTCTTGGAACTGCGACAGCACCCGGTCAAAGTGCGTCCCCTCCCAGAACACCTTTCCACAGCCGGTGCAGATGAAGTACACTGGAATCCGGGGCAGGAGGCCTGGGGGCACGGTCTCCAGCTGAACTTCAGCCCCGCTGGGGAATTTGAAGGTCTGGGGGTCCAGGGCGGTACGTGGGGCCCAGCAGCAGTGAGGGGTGAACTCGGGGCCCTCTGGGGGCCTCCAGCTATTGTATTCAGCTTGTGTTTCGTCCTGCGGCTTGCAGTCGTCCCGCTTAGATACGATGTCTTGAAGGAGACCTTTTAAGAGAAAGAAAAGGCGAATAGAAGCAAGAAGGCAGCTTTACGTTAAATGATGCTGCTGACGAAACCAAGGATTTAGGCAACATACTGTTACAAGTAAACGCTAATTAAAATGAAAAATGTAAAAATGGTGGAAAATCTGTACAGTAAATACATTTGAAAATATACATTCAAATACGTGCTGTATTGGCATGGGAAACAATTGGAAAAGAAGTGGCAACCTCTCTCTTTCATCATGCGGGTCATATCCTCTCTGGACAGCTTCAAGTACTCATTACAGTTGCAAGCCTAGAAGAAAGGTGACAGAAAAAACACATTAGTATGTAATAAAACACGACGTGACCAAGTAAATAAATTCAGCAGCAAGATGTTAAATCAAGTGTTAGATGATAAAATATTTTTTTATCTATTGATATATAATACAGGCAGTATACACACATTACTTCTAAATAGCTTTAATACTTTTTATAGCCTACTTAATTACTCTTTTTTTTATTATTATTTCTTTTTTTTATAATTTAGAGTCATCATCAAAACTTCAGAATAACTGCTCATATTATGGTATTTATGGAAAATATGTGACCCTGGACCACAAAACCAGTGTAAAAATGGTGGAAAATCTGTACAGTAAATACATTTGAAAATATACATTCAAATACGTGCTGTATTGGCATGGGAAACAATTGGAAAAGAAGTGGCAACCTCTCTCTTTCATCATGCGGGTCATATCCTCTCTGGACAGCTTCAAGTACTCATTACAGTTGCAAGCCTAGAAGAAAGGTGACAGAAAAAACACATTAGTATGTAATAAAACACGACGTGACCAAGTAAATAAATTCAGCAGCAAGATGTTAAATCAAGTGTTAGATGATAAAATATTTTATTATCTATTGATATATAATACAGGCAGTATACACACATTACTTCTAAATAGCTTTAATACTTTTTATAGCCTACTTAATTACTCTTTTTTTTTTTTTTTTTTTTATAATTTAGAGTCATCATCAAAACTTCAGAATAACTGCTCATATTATGGTATTTATGGAAAATATGTGACCCTGGACCACAAAACCAGTCTTATGTAGCACGGGTATATTTGTAGCAATAACCAAAAAAATACATTGTATGGGTCAAAATTATCGATTTTTCTTTTATGCCAAAAATCATTAGGATATTAAGTAAAATTATGTTCCATGAAGACACTTTGTAAATTTCCTACCGTAAATAGATCAAAACGTCATTTTTGATTAGTAATATGCATTGCCAAAGACTTAATTTAGACAGTTTAAAGGCGATTTTCTCGATATTTTGATTTTTTTTTTTTGCACCCTCAGATTCCAGATTTTCAAATAGTTGTATCTCGGCCAAATATTGTCCTATCTTAACAAACCATACATCAATGGAAAGCTTATTTATTCATCTTGCAGAAGATGTATTAATCTCAATTTCGAAAAATGGACCCTTATGACTGGTTTTGTGGTCCAGGGTCACATTTATGGTAAATTTGCTAAATATTAAAATTTTTGACAAGTTCACATAAATGCCACACTTGTTTTTCCTTGACTATATGACCCGATGTATCCATTAACAGCACATAAAAAAAGCAAAACATATTCATACATATAATAGCGTTCAAATGTTTGGGGTTTTTAAAGGTATGATACCATTACAATTTAAAAGAACTGTTTTCCATGTGAATTTGTTCATTCCTCCAGCCTTCAGTGTCACATGATCCTTCAGAAATCATTCTAATATGCTGATTTGCAGCTCAAGAAACATTTATTCATGTTGAAAACAGCTGCTTCATATATTTGTAGAAACTGCCAGATTTGTCTTTTGATGAATGGGAAGAGCATTTATTTTAAACAGATTTTTTTTAAACTTTATAAATATCTTTACCATCATTTTTCATCAAATGAATGTGTCCTTGCGGAATTAAAATATGAATTTCTTTAAAAATAAATCCTGCTGAGCCCAAACTTTTGAACTGTACTGTATATATACAGCAGTAATGGTAGGTTGCAAACTAGACTCTTATATATTTCAAATAGTCTAGTAGTTCCCATGCTAAACTCTCTCATTCACACACACACACACCAGTGACGCAGGCTAGGTGTGAGGTTAGAAGTTTGCGTCGCCTCTCTTGATTTCACACCTCAGTGTGGCTTCTGTCTCATCCTCAGCGAGGAACCCATTCCCACTCTTTCAGACAACACACAGGCGCTAAAAGCCTCGTCACTGAACTCAGCAACACCAGCCAGACTCACGCTGAACGCAACACTGACAATTCAGGCGGTCAACTCATTACACTGGAATGCTTCTCACACAAACTGAAACTGAAATCAAAAGACTGCTCGGTTTTAAAGGAATAGTGACATTTTGTCACATTTACTCACTCATGCTTTCATTACTTCTAAAAGTGTAAATTTGGAAGAAAACAACTTCATAATAGTATATGACTGTCGAATTCCAACAAGGACCAAAATATAAGTCAACATAACTCATATGCTATATTCCATATAGGTTTCTGTGTTTACAACTATCATATGACTGAAGAAGCCATGAACACAAATGAAATTTCTCCTTTTAAATATAGAATATGGGTTTGGAACAACATGAAGGTAAATAAATGTTAATAAATATACACTAATGACCAAAATATTTTGAATACTTAAAAAATGTTTTAAATATTTTTGAAAGAAATATTATGCTCACCAAGGCTGCCTTTATTTGGCCACAATTATAGTAAAAACAGTAATATTGTGAAATATTATTATAATTTAAAATAACTGTTTTCTATTTGTATATATTGTAAAAAATAATTAATTCTTGTGATGTAAAGCTGAATTTTCAGTATCATTACTCCAGTCTTCAGTGTCACATGATCCTTCAGAAATCATTCAAATATGCTGATTTACTGCTGAAGAAACTAAATATTCAGCAAGGAAACGTTAAATTTATCAAAAGTAACAAAAGTGATGATATGTTACAAAAGATTTCTATTTCAAATAAATGCTGTTCTTTTGAACTGGTGAAAAAAGCACCAGTTCCCACAAAAATATGAAGCAAATGGTCAGTGATAAGAATCATTATTAATAACGGACCACCAATAATAATTCATAATAAAATCAGCATATTATTACGATTTCTGAAGGATCATGCGACACTAAAGACTGGAGTAATGATGCTGAAAACTCAGCTTTAATAAATTGCATTTCAAACTAAAAAAATATATTTTAAATTGTAATAATATTTCACAATATTAGGACTTATGCAGTATTTCTAATTTAAAAAAAATGAAGCCTTGTTGAACATAAGTGACAAAACATTACAAAAATAATAATAATTCCAAACTTTTGACAGGTAGTGTGAATGATATCTCATAAACATTCAGATTTAATACTGAATCCATTTAGAATTCAGTTTAAACTATACATGATTTTGCATACGCACACACAAACACAAGGTGCTGTGAAAAGGCATGTTGTCCAGTTCCCACAAAAATATGAAGCAAATGGTCAGTGATAAGAATCATTATTAATAACGGACCACCAATAATAATTCATAATAAAATCAGCATATTATTACGATTTCTGAAGGATCATGCGACACTAAAGACTGGAGTAATGATGCTGAAAACTCAGCTTTAATAAATTGCATTTCAAACTAAAAAAATATATTTTAAATTGTAATAATATTTCACAATATTAGGACTTATGCAGTATTTCTAATTTTAAAAAAATGAAGCCTTGATGAACATAAGTGACAAAACATTACAAAAATAATAATAATTCCAAACTTTTGACCGGTAGTGTGAATGATATCTCATAAACATTCAGATTTAATACTGAATCCATTTAGAATTCAGTTTAAACTATACATGATTTTGCATACGCACACACAAACACAAGGTGCTGTGAAAAGGCATGTTGTGTGTGTGTGTGTGTGTGTGTGTGTGTGTGAGAGGGACAGGCTCACTCTCACGCTCTCTCCATTCCACCTTGAGTGATCTCTTCCCACACACTGCGCAAAACACACCAGCAACTATTTACCCAACTCCAGAGTTTCCCATGCAAAAGCAAGTCAAACCTGCTCCGCCAACTCTTCACACTCGCGCTCTTTCTCCATCTGTGTTTGTCTCCAAAACCACGCGTGTGAGTTTTGCTTCTAACCCTGCGAGGCGTGACCAGACCAAACCCTATGGCAAATATGTCACATGTGCTGCTGTTGCGGGTCCAGCTATGATCTTCTCCATGACCGTCAGCCACTAGTGCTTTCCTGCTCACAGTCACATTTCTGTGCAACATACTGTAATTAGGTAGGCATCACTAGTGTATCACTAGTGCATGTGATGCAGATTTTCAGTGGGGTTTTGCACCAGTGGGCAAGCCAGTGACAAAACATCCCCCAGTCGTCGCCGTTTGCCCCTGATTCGGAAAACAACTGATGAAGAGATAGATTTTATCGCAGCTGGTTAGGTCACGCTTGGGAAACTCTGGAGTGTTAAACAGCCTAACTCGTCCTGCTCTGTTTGTGATGTGGACATGAAAGAACGTGGTCTGGAAAAGGAAATGAATACTTGAAAAAATGTTTTTAAGAGATTAAGGCTACACGCATACTTAATAAAACTAAAAATGCAGTGTGACTTAGTGTGATTATCAACTCACAAATGCTGTGATTTCATTAAATAAATATATGCACTGCATGAATCTAACGTTATAATTTGCATGTGGGAATGCAACATGCACCAATCTTTTACCTAAATGGTTGGCTTTATGAAGCTTTAAAGGTCTTTCTGCAGTTTTCCATCAAAATAAAATCTCAGTTGTTTAACTCTTTTTAAAGTTAAACTGCCATAAATATTAGTATTGTAATTTTACAGTTGTAGTGAAAAAAATATATATATTTTTTATTTTACAGTGAAATATTACAATAGCATATTGCTTATTTTGTTTCATAATTATTCAATTTATTAATTTAAATAATCATTTTTAATACTTTTATTTAGTAATAATAATAACTAAGTATTAGTCATACTGATATATAAATCACAAACTATTTTTCATAATCAAAAAGCTCAATGGTTTAACTTCTGAAAATGAAGAAATTAAGATATAAATAATATTGCAATTCTATAGTTGTATTGTGAAAATTGTTCTTTTTCAGTGAAATATTAGAATAGTAATATTTATTTAGTGTAATACATTTATTTCATATATAATACTTGGATTTAGTAATAGTAATAATTTCTATAATTATAGTTATACTGATATATAAATCACAAAATATAGCTGAATA